GGGGGGGGTGATGTGATGTTTAGAGATGATGTTGCATGTAAGAGTATTCTGTGTCACAGATCTCGAGAGGGCACACTTCACGTTTCGTCCATTGTTTGGTCAATATAATATAGATCTATCTTACCTTATCTTACAAGCTAACAATGAAAGGGACACTGTTATGAACGTTTTGCTAACTTAAATACTTGCTGCCGTAGAGTTAAACAATTATTGTCCTGGCGAGGCCACAGTATTACACTGGTTATTGTTATTTTCGTTCATAAATATAATAGCATTAAAAAGTTCCCCTCAATGAAAATTCCAAAGCTTATAAGCAAAGCAAACCTTTCGAAAGGAACGACAGGAATTAGCACAAGTGTATGAATAACTTTAGCGTTGTAAACTTATGAATTCCTGTACAGTAAACCTCGTATCCTCCCTTAGCGGACTCCCAGTGAAAAGAGGTTCTACGGATTATTTCTTCAGCAAACAACAGGCCTCGGCAAAAACAGTATCGCCGGGACTGATGTGATATCAATGTTATGACAGAATCCTGTTACATACGGGAATGAAGTTTTCGTACCCTGTAACTAATGATTAACGAATGGGATCATTCTTCTTTAAAAAAAAAAAAAAAAGATTACCCGCTACCTATTTATCAAGTGTATCCATTTCGGAGGCTGTTTATAGGATTCCCTTGAAATTTGGCCTCAGTGTGGGCAATTGGCGTAGTTGCAACCTCTTAGAGGCTTTTTTTATATAAGGAATATATTTCATTTTACTACATTCTATATGCCTCAGAAGGAGTGATTTTTAGGAAAATTTCGGTGTTCTAGCCAGTCATGTGTTAAAATCAGATATATCTCGCTTATTTTAAACGATAAAAAAAAATCCTCTAACAGGTTGCAACTACCTATACTGAGTGTACTCTGTGAAAATATTAACTCTGTAGCTTTATAGATAAGAAAATTACGCCTGCACTAAAATAACGCTTTATAGGGGGTCGGGACACCCAAAAGTGTAAAAATTTGCCGGGAGAGCAGAAATAGAGTCCATCTGACTACCTGAATAACGTACAAGACCCCCAAAGTCATATAAAATGCCCTTACATGATTGCTAAGTTTGTGCATAACGGATTTTGAAAAAAAGCATGCTGGTCTTCCCTTAAACCTAGCCATTAGAGCATGCACAATATTGGAGTGTCCTTGGTGCAGCCCAGCACGGCTCTCAGTGCCTCATTCTGCACTCGATCCAGATTAGTGATCTGTGTGTGGACAGCATGAGACAGCCCAATCCGTAATCAATGACAGACAGGACGACCAGCTGCAACATCAGGAAGAGCACTCTTTGCGGAATCAGAGCGGCCGCCATGGTCTTGATTGCACCAACACCTCGTTTGGCCTCATTGTGCAACATGGTTCACATGCGTGTTGAAGGACAACGACCTGTCGAAGACGATTCCCAGACACTTCAGCTCTGGCTGTTTGTCGATAATCTCATAGTTGCAAGTGATTGGTGGAGTTATGTCTTGGACAATCCTGTTGTCAAGGGAACACCAAAGTACATGTGCCTTTGAAGGATTGATAACTGCTTCATTTTGGTCGCACCATTTTACAACTGAGTGAAGTCTTTTCTCCATGTTCCCTGCCCTCTGAAGTCTATCATCTCCGTGCTCGTATGCCATTATGTCATCCTCAAAACTCAGGACACGTCCAGATTCCTTCTGATGAAGCAACGACAAGCTACTTCCGGGATTACACTTACAAGCAACGGTTCCTCCCCTTTACCTTTGCATCTAGAAGAATATTTATGCTTCTAGGTCGTTGGTGGCAAACGTTGCAGACGCCCTAAATTCAAAAACCTGTGATACTGATAGATCAAGCGATTTAGATCTAACACTAACATTTTGCGAGTGATGTTCTGGAATCAGGGTGCTTTCTCTACGATTTTATTAAGTCAGTAGGCATGGCATGGCAATCAAGGTTTGATGACTTTGCATTTGTAGATACATCCTCGAAACCAAAGAATGCATGGCAAGGGGAAAATGTACCGGGGTCTAGACCACAAAAGCAGCCGTTTAGCAATTGTAGTGACAGACATCGAGGTGGTTGGCAGGCTCACTCACATGATGGAGGGTCTTTTTCATCGAACGGCACCAACAAGAATCCTGATGCCAATGGAATAAAGCATATCAGAATATGTGATCTTACAACAGAAACGTCGTTTGTTGTAAGTCTCTATTCTCACGTCAAGAAATCGCCACAATCACAACGGCTAGCCTACACTACTCACTACTAATTTTGATTTGACATGGTTTGATTTGAGAGCAATCCCCTTTATTTAATTCTAGATTAGATCTAGAATCTAGATCTCTAGGCCTAATTGACTTTTTTCATGCCGTATCTATATTCGGGGGCCAATGCTACAGTCAACCCCACTTGTGTTGAACTGGTTTGATTTGATCTTCAGGCTTCAGTCTTCAGTTAAGTTGATCTTTTTCTCAGTTCCCAGCTCCTCTTCTTTCTTGGATGGTAGGTGGGAGAGAATGTGGAGATGAAAGCAAATGATAGAACATGTCTAGAGAACAGGAAAGGCGGTGAAAGGTGAACATTTTTATTTTTTAGAGAAGAAAATATTTCCATCGTTGTCAGGTTTCGAACTCGGGAGCTATTGAATGAGAGGCGAACACTGTACCTTTAAACCAATTGAGAGCTCCCATAGTAGATCTAAGGACTAATCTCGAGTCTTAGTGAAAGGTCTGATCAGGCAGCTTGAGGACTGGCGAGTATTGGTAGGCCTATTTATATAGATCTAATATAAGAAAAAACAAAAAAAACAAAAACCCAACAAAATTGTAGATACATCCTGCATACCCGGATTTGACTAGTTTTTATTCGTAAATCTTAAATAGATCTCTAGATCTTATTTTTACTGATTTGTAAAATTTGTGTGTCTTTTTCAGTCCATTATAGGGCTGATCATATCTAAAGAAGGGCCCAAATCAATTTTCAGTAAAAAAGGTGAGTTTTGCTATGCAAGTATTTTAAAGAATTATTGTTTTGATAACTTTACTGGTTCCGCTGCTGAAATGTATTTTATTCCCTCACAAAATTTTTGTTATGATGAATAATTTGTATGGTAGCCTATCATTGAAACTTGGATTCCATTGTTAACAAATTAACAATTTTGTGACATGTGTTTGGGATAGAAAGTCACATAGCCTACATTATACAATAGATATCTAATTTTCATTTAAATCAACATTATTTCAATAAATCCCCAAAAGATAAAAATTGATAGATTGTTCTTCTCAATGTCAGCCTAAATGCACTCATAATTCAAGCTACTACAATTTGAATATGGGTTCCTTGTTTTTACTTGAGAGAGAAAAAAATCTGTCTATAGGCCTAGGCATGAATGGGACAGAATCCTCCCCCCCCCCCCTTCTTCAATGTACTCATGTGTCTGAAACAAGGCAAGGCACAAGCACATAAAATACATGTACTTACACAGCCTCACTCACACACACACACACACACACATGCATATACACACACACCCACACACACACACCCACACACACTCACGCACACACACACACAGGCACATACAGACACCCAAACACACATGCACACACACACAGTCACACAAACACATACACACACATACATACACACACACACACACTCACACACACACACGCACACACACA